AAAGTAGGTCACTGTTGGATTTGTGAGTCTAATCTATGATACCGTGGGATATGTATGGGGAGATCGGCGCCCCGTGTGTATCTGATGGAATATGATATGGATAATATGAAAAATCACAGAGTGACCTCCTATTGGTATGGAAAAAAAAAGGAGGGTATAAGAAAATAAGAGGGCTAGTCAAGTGAGTTTGAGATCGATCAGCCATGTAATGGAATCGACTCCCTGGTGCACACGTGATGAGAGGGTGGACCATATGTGAGGACGGTTCATCGAGGATTATAGTGACGCCACTAACCAATTTTCACTTGATGTAATTATGTGAATGTGCTAATATTTGTGATTGTTGTTCGTATGCCATTTCTGTGATCGATGCATGATCAAGTAGCTGGACGGATGACTAGATTGACTTATAAATGTATTTATGTGATTGTGTGAGTTGAGAGGGTTATCTAACCGTACTCACTAAGCTTAGGCGCTCATTCCTGCCTTAATATTGATCGATGCATGATCAAGTAGCTGGACGGATGACTAGATTGACTTATAAATGTATTTATGTGATTGTGTGAGTTGAGAGGGTTATCTAACCGTACTCACTAAGCTTAGGCGCTCATTCCTGCCTTAATATTTTATTTTTAGGTTACAAGTCTTCCAGTAACTCGTGATCCTGTGCCACCCGACATCTAGAGGAAATGTTGAAAACGAAACCTTGATCAATTTTCTTTAGCGTATTAAAGTGAAATTTTAAATTCTTAGATTGTTCCGCAATTACAATAGTCATGTATAACAAATTTAGAAATTAATGTACTTATTAAAGTTTCTATTACATAATATATTGATATAGGCCGAGAGAACTTTGAAAATTGATTTGTTGTTGAACATGATGATATGGCTAAGCGAGGCAATGACTTATGATTTTGGAATGACGATGATATTGAACTTGAGGCCACGTTTATTGAACAAGAAATTTATTGGGTATACTTTTTAGGTTACTATGGGTTTTGGTGGCTTTAAGCTTACTAAGATTCTAGTGCTGGTCCGGTTCAAAGTAATGGGTTGCGATACTGATGCCCATTTCAAATCTAGCATCCTTTGAATAATCCAATGGCAAAAAAAAAAAAAAAAAAAAAAAAAAAAATGCTCTCGACATGGTGTCAAAATGGTCTAGCATTCCCTCCGTTTGAAACTTTGAAGGAGTTACGTCTACAGTCCTGGCGATAAAAGGGAGAAAAAAGAAATATAAATATACAAGAAAAAGAAACACACAAGAGAAGTTTATTGCAAGATTATCTTTTTTTCAATGTTGAGATAAGTTATTACATCTTATTCTAATGACACATACTTAAGTTGCTAGGTTCAATTGATTTCGCTTTCGGGTGCCATTTGAATTAACGTCATTAGTTCTTGTTCATCGAGTTCCAAGCTCTCTCTTGATTACCCTCTCTTTCAATTGCTTCGTATTGACTTTCTCTTACGAACAATGCTAACATTGTATGTTACGGTATTTGACAATCGAAGTGAGGAGACAAGTCAAGGTGGACAATTCAAATGCCATGGAATATTTGACCACGGAAAAGCATTAAAAACTACCGAAAGAGGAATTAGCAACGGAGCTCCTTTTACGGAGGACATAACTTATCCCTTCAGGACATAATGCGCTCTAAGTTTCTAATTCTAGTCATTTACTATTCCAGGCTTTTAAAACTAAACAAAACAAAAGAGGGTTTTATTCAAAGGGCGTGAGTTACTTTCTCTTACGTCAAACGACGGTTCTGCGAAGTCCGGACCTACGATTGAAATGGCATGACATCTATGACGGCTCACCAGTTATCCGAGCGGGGGTGCACATGAAAAAATTTACCCGCATCGATTTAAACTGCTGCAGCCAGACCAATAATCTCCAATTGTGTCAGCACAAAATTCTTGGGATCGCCCTCCGCATAACCCCGTCTTTCTATTACGTGAGAGGAGCTATTGAAGGAGTTGGCAGGCTGATGATTGTGTCTCTTAACTCACCGTCACGCCTTAGGGAAATCCTTAAGATTGTGAGTGTTTCTTTCTGAGGCTCTTTCTCATTTTCAATTGACTTTGCTGTCTTCACCACATTTCAGCCTAAATTTGCGTTTTGTGACACGCGCTAAGTAAGTGAGTCTCTCGAACGTTACTAGTTCTCCCATCTTTTTCAATTTACTTTTTCTTTTAGTCTAGAGCTAAACAAAAAAAAAAAAAAAAAAAAAAAAAAAAAGATTATTTTTAAGGATAATTATTATCTTATTCTAATATAATACTACTATTCATTATTCGTTCGTCATTATACCATTTAGTCTTTTCGTCAATATTTTATACTCTTTTCTGTTTATTATTTTACGAAATGTAATTATGAGGTATGAAAAATGAAAAAGAGTACAAAATATTGATGGAATATGACACGAAACAAAAAAGAAGTTCAACTCTTTTGGACATAACTCATCCTACATATGGAATTTTAAAGTATTTTATTAGCTTTTAAAACTAAACAAAAAGAGGTTTCCAGCGAGACATGACACGTTGAAATCCACCTACATTGAAATGGACATGAATTATGCCTTACGATCACTGCACATGCAAAAATTTATCCCCATCCATTAAACTGTTTGCAGCCAGACCATTAATCTCCAATTTTCAGCAATCGCCCTCCAACCTCTTTCTATAAATAGAAGGCTTATTTTCTTCTCAATCACGCCTAGGAATCCTTAATTGATGTTTCTTTAGGCTTTCTTATTCTCTTCTTCCTTTCAGCCTTTGAACGCTAAGTAAGGTTGAGGTCCTCTCGAACTTACTTTCTCCATCTTTTTCAATACTTTTCTTTTAGTCTAGAGCCTTCTCGGTTTCTAGTCTTTAATTCTTTTCTTTTGGCTTTAGAGCCTCTTTGATTTTTATTTCTTTTGTATATCATGTTTTCGGAATAAAAAAGAATCTATTTTCAGTACATCAGTTGACATCATTAGACAATTATGCGTTGTTGATTCAAATAACATCAAGATATGTAAAGAGTAAAGATGTTAGATGTACCAAGCTTAGAGAATCGGATAGAAAATTTTATAAACATATTATCAGATTCAACTGAGTCAGCATACATAGATAAGACTCGAAACGATAAAACAATAGATTTGTGGCATGTTCACCTTAGACATATTAGTTATCACAAGCTAAAGGTAATGATGAACAAGTACATGCTTAAAAGTCTTCCCTAGCTCGAATTTCAAGGAGATATTGTATATTCTGAGTTATCAATATGGTAGGCACACTAATTACCATATGAAGAATCAAGTTATAGAGCCAAATAACCATTAAAGCTTGTGCACTTATATGTATTTGGCAGGATAAAACAACCATCAACTGGAGGCATAAGGTATATTGTCACATTCATTGACAATTATCCATGGTGCATATGGATTTATTTCATGAAAGAAAAATCTAAGACGTTCATTAAATTCAAAGAATTTAAAGAAGAAGTTGAAAGCAAAGTTGGAAAGAAGATTCAATGTCTGTGCATTGACAATAGGGAAGAATATATATATTAGATAGTTTCTCTGATTATCCGAAACAATGTAAAATCAGGAGACAGTTGACATGTCCAAAGATGCCACCAGTAAAATAGAATGGTTGTAAGGAAGAATCAACACTTCGATGAGATATGTCAGAGTATATTATGTGCTAGAAATGTGCCCAGAAAGTAATTAATCGATTATGAAGACCAAGACTAGGGTTTATCTCACCTTTCCAAACGTGTGGCATATAAAACTCATAGCAAGTCATTTTGAAGTCTTTGCTTATGCTTTTGTACTAGAAAAGTTATGTAGCAAGCTCGACAAGAAAGCGATTCAATGTATCAATTTTGTGGGTTATAATATTGAAAGAAAAGGATGGAGATGTTGTGACATTATGAATTGTTGATACCATTCATGAAGGAACATAGTTTTTGATGAAGCATCTTCTTGGTGGTCATCACAAGAAATAACTTTTTCAAACTCAAAAGAAATGGAAGACAAGCTACCAGCGATAACAAAAAAAATGATAAATGTATATGTTTGTATTGGTAGAAGTGAGTAGAGGAAACACAAGTGTTACATCTATAAAAGTTATTCACAATTAAGATTAATTTTTCTATAAATTCAACATTTTAACAATGTGAGCTTTGGTTGTCTCAATAAGTTCATTTAAAATTTTCTTGCTTCAATTTTTTTTTTTCTAAAAGATAGAGCAAATTTTCTTTGGAGAATAACAGAAAGTGGAAAGGACAAGAAACAACTACAATGTAAGCATTATTTTCTATGCTTCACTTGTAGAAGGAAGTGTGAATTAACCGGTTTTTCGAGCATATAATGCGTGCGAAATTAATAATTATAGGAGTATAATAGATGTCTCATAAAATTTTGGTTATCACCGAGTTAAAGCTATAAAGTTTTATTTTTTTAGAATATATAGTTAATAGATAAAAGGTATGTAATTAGTTTGGTGTGATTGCTTTTGCTTTTTCTACTAAATTAGAATTGAATTCATATAATGAAATTTACTAAAACTTAAATTAAACTGAACCAAAAAAATTTTTTTTATCAGAAAAGCTGCACCAAAATTTTAAAATAACCAGATGAACAGTTGTCTTATTTTCATTTTGGTGAAATTGAATATTAGTCATTCCTATATCGCGATCTCGCATTGGTGTTTTACACCTTGATGACGTGTTTCACCTAAAGAATTACTACTTCTCCAAATGAGAATAATGAACATTAGCTTTAAATTATTGGACTTGGACATAATAATAACCAAGTCCAACGAATTGAAAAAAATAATAATAATCATAAAAAAGTTGACAAAAGCAAGAAATAAAGAAAAGGACGCGGTTTTGTATTGTATCCTATAATGCTAATCTAGCTGTGTGTTTTACCATCTTTCTTTTCTATCTTCAGCACATATTCTTCTTCACCTAATTTTCAATTCAATTCCACTTCTGGGTAAATTTTTTTTTTCTTTATTTTTTTGTAATAATTGAATCTTTACTTTGATTTCTTGACCAGTCAAGCTAATTTCTTTGAATTTTCTTTTAAGCTTTGGGTTTTTGTTTGCTTGTCAAATTCAAATATCATCAACATCTTCGATCGTTTATTGATGGTTTTATCTTAGTAATTAAATAAATGATGTCTAGGTCAAACATTAGGAGCTCTGGTCATTGTTCCAGATCCTTCTGTGGTGTAAATTGAAGTTTGTGGGCTTCTCTTACCTACCTTTGTTTCCTCATAAAGAGGGTTTCTCCACAGATTTTTATTTACAATAATTCTGTGGTCTTTCTGCTATTTGTAGATTCTCTGTGTTTCTTTCTTCATCTCTTTTCATTGGTAAGAACAATTTAAGTTTTTATTTGTTTATTCATTTTATAATTTGTATGAATGGCTTTCTTTTCGAAATGAAAAGTTTTTCTTATGAGATCAGGCAACAAGGGATTTTTCATTTTTTTTTTCTTTTTGTGTAATTTTAGATGAAGGGTTTTTGTTTCTTTTTTGTCAAAGTTTAAAATTTTTTTTTTGTAACTCTTCTAATTGGGATTCCTTAAATTTTCACCTGTAGACAATTTCTATTCGATCTGTGATTTTCTAATTGATGGATCTTGAAATTGTCATTTTTTTTTTTCTGGACCATGAGCTGTTTACCAAAAGGACAATACGGTTGCTTTCTACTCTCTTGTCATTTTAGGGCATCTCGTGATGGTGGTTTAAGATTTTCCCTTTTTTTCTGCGGTACTGTTTTCAGTAGCTAGATCGAAAGAAAATTTCAAAATTTTGGTGTCTGTGTTAATTTGAGATTGGGATGTTTGGCTTTGATAGAATTGCTTGTGCTTGAATGACCTTCTATTGATGCTATTGCCTCGTTTGTTACAGAGAAGTCAACAAAAGGGAAAAAAGGGTAGTTGCTGAAGTAGGGTAAAGAGAAAGAATGGAAGAAACAATGGCAGCACGGTATTGGTGTCACTTGTGTTCTCAAATGGTTATTCCTATCATGGAAATTGAGATCAAATGTCCATATTGTGAAAGTGGATTTGTAGAAGAAATTAGCAGTAGGTCAAGGGATAGTCAAGACCCTGATACCGATTTCAGTTCTGATCGTGCACTCTCTCTTTGGGCCCCGATATTACTTGGAATGATGGGAAACTCTCGTAGACGCAGAAGATTTAGAAGAACCGAGTTTGAAGATGACGACGATGACAATGATGATGGAGGAGTCAGTGAATTGGACCGCGAACTTGAGTCATTTGTGAGGAGGAGGAGAAGAAACTCTGCAACAATATTACAATTGCTTCAAGGAATTCGAGCTGGAATTGTGTCTGAATCAGAGAATTTGAATTCTGAAGGAGATAGAGATAGGGAAAGAGAAGGTGTCATTTTGATCAATCCTTTGAATCGTACTATCATTGTACAGGGTTCATATGATTCAAGCAATGGTCCAAACCAGAATCATACTCCAGTTGGGTCATTGGGCGATTATTTCGTAGGTCCTGGTTTGGATTTGTTATTACAACATTTGGCAGAAAATGATCCAAATAGATATGGTACTCCACCAGCACTAAAGGAAGCAATTGAGGCATTACCAAATGTGACAATTAAAGAAACTATTCAGTGTTCAGTTTGTTTAGATGATCTTGAGGTTGGCACTGAGGCCAAGGAAATGCCATGTAAGCATAAGTTTCATAGCAACTGTTTATTACCATGGTTGGAACTTCATAGTTCTTGTCCAGTTTGCAGATTTCAGTTGCCTGCTGATGAGTCCAAGTCAGATTCCGAGAGGTCTCAAAATATCAGTGATCGGAGGGTTAGCGATGATAATGATGGTGATAATAACAATAATAATAATACTAGTAGTAGTAGTAGTAGTAGTAGTAATGATAATAATAATAATGATAATGGCAGTATCACTGAAGAGGGAGAAGGGGATGGGAGAAATGGAAATGGAAGAAGGTTTTCATTTCCATGGCTTTTCAGTAGTTTGTTTTCCTCCTCTTCAGGATCTCATTCCAGTGGAAGCAATTCGACGCCCACAACTTCATCCTCGTTGCCAAATGCTTCTCGAACAGATGAGGATTAAGTTGATTTTCTTTAATTGCCAACATTATATTAGCTTGTCAATTATGTTGCTTGAATGTGTGTTGCCTTTGTTTATGTACATATTATTTTACTTGCTCAACTCAAGGCTAAATCTTGGAAAAAACAACAGTTTGTGTTTTGATATGCCTCTTTCTTTGTTCTTTCTATATAGAATTTTCTGCAGGATGAAATATCTGCCATTGATGGTTGCTATATCACCTACTATTTAACTTGTATACAGCTATTTTAAAGCTAAATTTGAATATTTCAATTGCATCATGATATGGAAATTTCTGCTTGTTTGAATTGGTAGTGACAAAAAGAGGTGTTGCCATTTGACAACATGCCATGTGGTAAGTTGTGTCAATTATATAAACATTTTGTTCTTGACCAAAACAGAAAATGAAAATGATTATCCTAGGGTGTGACTTGCTAAACATTTAATATGATATCCTCAATTTTGCTTACCTAATTGATTATGCAAAGGAGCAGGATATTAAAATATAAAAATGGGTGGATGAGACCAAGAGCTAGTTCATAACTTCAATCATACAATAAACCCATGTTTGATGTTTCTCTTTCGGCTAAAGATAAGTTAAAACTTAAAAAGGAGTCTGTGTGAACTGTCTTGTTGAATTATTGGGTTTCGTAGGCTGTAGCTCAATTTGAAAACAACTATTTATTCCTCATAAGCTAGTGATTTTTCTTTACTTTATAAATTCTCAGTTTTGATAAAAGGATTTGTCATGACAACTTCATAATTAATCAATATTGACCAATTCGACCCATAAAGGGCGGCCAAGTTTGATTTATGCACACGATTTTTGACCAATACAAACTCTGAAACAAGGAAATAATAACTGTTTACAAATGGGTAGATACAAACTCTGAAACGAGATTAATTTCATATTATGAATAAAGGAAATTTCATATTATGAATAAAGGAAATACTAACCGTTCACAATCATCGTTCAATTCTTTCTTTGTACTTAGATCAAACCTCTATTTTATTTTTAAGTTTCATTTCTTAAAATTTTTAGTCCGAGTATCAGAAAAGATCAGAACCAAATAAAATATAAATACCATTATGCAGTAACAATAAATAAAGATTGTATACCAAATTATCCAATTTCCAATGTCCAATTTCTTATACAGATTTGCATAGAAGGCCTACTTATTTTAACATTTAAAGGCACTTCCCATCTTATGTATTAATCCAGAAAAACAAGTTGATCCCAGATGATGGCAGTTAAATATTGCAGTTAGGCAACAGTTGCTTGAATGCTAGTAATTTACAGTTGATTTGATTGCATCCAGTATCTGCATCAAGGGGCATAATTTAGCCTGCTTATGAGGAGGATCCTATATATATATATATATATATATATACAGAAAAAAAAAAAAAAAAAAAAAAAATGAGGAGGAATCCTATATATTATATATATATAATACTACAGAAAAAAAAAAAAAAAAAAAAAAAAAAAGTAGAGAATCCACTATTCATATTCCAGCTTATGAGCTCTTGACATGACTCACCTTGTTCTTGGTGGGCATATAGAATGGCTCAAAAACAAGAGGGAAAGGCGTATCCAGACCGCAAATTCTCGCTACAGGGGCTTCTAACTGCAAAGACATTCAGCATTTAAGTTGAGCAAACAATAAGACATTCAAGTTCCTGAAATGGATTGTCATCAATAGTTATAACCATTTATTTAGGGGAACTTAAAAATAAGCATGTGATGAGGATCTCTTTCTCAGTGTAATTAATTTCCATATACACATTTTTCTATCCACTGATATGATTAATATCAATTCAAACATTCTCCTTTGACAGTATATGTTGCAGCTTTTTGTTCAGGAACCCTTGCATAGATTCCAGTTCAGCAAAGTACCAAATGGAAAAAAAAAAAAAAAAAAAAAAAAAAAAAAAGAAAGGGAAATATGTTCAGACTTTTTTCTTTTCCTCTTAACAGATAAATCATGGTGGTATCTTTAGAAGCCAATAATGCTTTAAATAGTAGAAAGAAGCTCTAAGTGTCAATAGACTTAATTTACAGATGTTCCTGCTGTCATTAACCCACCAAAAAATGAGGTCATCTTAAGCGAGACACCCATATAGATGATGAAAGTGAATAGAGGTCTGCAATAAGTTAATGCACAGATGCTCACCCTTAAGAAGCAACGTTCAACAATAGACGCAGAGATTTCAGCACCAAAACCTCCAGTGACTGGAGCTTCATGACTGATCTGCAAGAGACAAGGAAATGATTCTCACTTCACCAGCCACTTTTTGGGAAGTGCAGTTTTTAAGGACATATTATTATACTTACAAGAAGCCTCCCAGTCTTTCTGACTGAAGCCTCCACAGTTTCTTTATCCCATGGTATTAAAGTTTTGAGGTCTATCAATTCACAAGAAATTCCATCCTGCAAAACCTTTGGTCAGCTATCTGCTTAAATGTCGCAGGCTGAAAGAGGTAGAAGAGTCCTGGTTGGCCAAGAAAAAGGACAAAAGGTCGAAGACCAGGGGAGGTGGAGGTGGTTACATCAAAATCCATAAGATTTCTTGAAATATCCAAAAATCATGATGAATCAGATAAAGCAACAAATTTATTGAACTAAAGTTTACTTGAAGACAGAAGATATTTGGAATGCAAGAACTAATCACAGGCATATAATAAGGGAAGGAAAATGTAGTAACAGAGAAAGCCTTTTGCAACATAACTTATATTTGCAAATCAGTTTGAACCAAATATTCTTAACAAGAAATTGGTTTGTTAGAGAACTGTACTGTTTGCATCTAATAATGCATATGCAAATTCCTGTTTGTAATCTTTTCCCTGTAAAACTTGTGCTTAATGTACAAAGGATATTTGTAAAATGGCACCTGAGCAGGATACACAGGTTATTTTTCACAGCCACATATATCCTTCTCCATGGCTACTGTGTCCTGTGTAATTCATAAGATACCTACATCGAGTGTATATGTCCACCCATATGCCAAACCAATCAAAAATAATTTTTTAAACGAAGGCGTTTCTGACCATTCACTAGAAAAAAAAAAGGGTAAGATAGGAACAAGTTTAAAAAAATCTCTTTATGAATTTGCTTGGTATATAGATTGGCCCATACAACGGGTGGGCAAGTCTTATCCTATCTGCTAATGTTCGGGAGTGGCATGAATAATTATTTTACCTAGTACCTATTCTATCCCATACTTGAGACTAAACTCTCCAAGATCTTATATCCTTCCCCTCAAAATTGTCAAAAATCGTTGTCTAATTTTGATCATGCCACTTGGCATTCACCTAGACTCTGGTTTTGAGCTAAATTAGTGCAAAAGATACCAAAGAGTCATTCATCTCTTTCACTTTTCTATGTTGACACATTACCCACTCACTCCCAATATATTCAGCATGGATGCAGTTAATAAACACTTCTTTGAAAAACATAGCATAATCTTCACAAAGATGCCCTTCTGCTGATGCATATCATTCATTATTTCAGGAACTTGCCAATGCTTTAGCAGCTACCCATCAACTTCTTGCAGACCATAAACAAGCAATGGCACTATCCAAGGTCTTCCTCCCATCTATTGATTTTTCGATAACGATTGTCTCAAAATTCTAATCAGCTATCTGCTCCAAAATTTAAGGAACTATAAATTAAACATCTTGTTTATGAAACTCGCCTTTAGCATATTAATTCATCTTCTTTGCTGCAGAACTATAGATCTTTTTGCTGCTCTTGTTTCTACCAACTCTGTCATCAACTTCTTCTCATTGTATTATCTTGCTGCTAATCTTTTCTCCACTCATAGTAATATCAATACTAACTTTGTATAAAAGCTTGAAAATCAATCTTCACTTTCTAAGAAAAAAATGATGTTCTATCAGGATATAACTTCCATTGTTCCTATTTAGCTTTACAGTTAGTAATGCATATGTACTTATCCATGGTAAACTTGTCCTTGTAAAATTATGAGCAACATAGTTTGAACTTTGAGGCAGCTGTGAATTTGTGAAATGGTTTTATAGTACCACAGGACCATCATTCAAAAGTTATAGCTGAACCTGTTCTTCATGTCACTACCAACAAATATCAAGGATCTGCCGACTGAAGTTTTTCTATGAGATATAGGCTGTTTCAAATTTTCCCACTTTGGAAGCAATGCTAGATAAGAATACGGATATAGGAGCAATGATTTTTGTCTCATAGCTTGGGACAGAACTAGAATTGAATAACCACGCACTACTATAGCTCAAGTCTAATACCATCATAACAATAACGGTCCATTAACCAAAAGGGTCAGCTAAAGTTAAATTTAGGCTCATTTGGCCAACAAATGCTAATAACCTTTATATAGCAGTGCTGATGTGAGATGCAGGTAATTGCTCATGGGAGGTAAAGTTCAAATTTCATGAAAAGAAAGGGAAATTTTGTAGAAATTACCTTCTCGGCATCACTACAAGCCTGCTCCATGACAGACAGCTGTGCTCCCCAGCCAACAAGAGTTATGTCACTACCTTCTCGGATCACCTAACATTTTCATTTGCAACTTTCTTCAGATCTATGATTTTAAGTCTTCCCAGAAAAGATAGAACTATCATACCTCTGCCTCTGACAATGGCAACATATAATCATGCTCAGGAACCTCTTCTACTGCCAAGCGATAAAGCCACTGAAATGTCCCAGGAATTTCCTTGACATCAAACTACAAATTATTGGCTAATTTTTTATTTACAATTAGGAAAAAGAGAAAAATACTTTTGGTTCAAAAAAGACAACAGGGTTTGGATCTCGTATGCATGACAACAATAATCCTTTTGCTTGCTGTGGGCTTCGAGGGATAACCACCTGTAAAAGCATAACTAGTTATTGTTACAAATAATATGCAAATTCCATTGGGAAAGATAAAATGCAAGAGGTTGAGCATCTTTGCAAGGTTAAGAGGCACTAGATGAGTGGAAATTAAAATTTTACCTCTCATCAACCCCTATGGAACTCAGGTAACTCAAATGTAGATTTAGAAATAAAAGTATATTTTACATATATAATAATTTTCAGTTCACTACAGAAATTTCCTGCATCTTTTTCAATTGAAAATTTATCATTTTGCAAGTTCCATTTTAAACAATTTGGGTAAAACAAATTTTAGTAATTGCCGATCCCACTCAGAATTTCTGGGCTCCAACACTAGTTTTCAATGTTACAAAGATCTAGGTAAAAGCTTTTATTTTCAGACATGGAAATATGCACCAAAAAGAATAGCCTACAATTGCCAACTAAAGGAAAGGAAGAGACTTAAATTCGCCACAGTCTTTCCACCAACTTCAACAGGGTTATTGAACTTTGATCTTACATCAGCAAAAGCGTGAAACTTTAATTTAGTTTCAATATAATACTACTGCAAGATTTTGGTAGGATTAAGGGAAGGAAAAGTACTTTGATACCAGGAACATGGCAAAAGAAAGCTTCTGGAGATTGTGAGTGATAATGTCCACCATGACCTACTGCTCCATATGGCGCTCTTATGGTTAAACCTGGGGAATCACTTTAAAATTGTCATACGAGGAAGGAAAGTGGAGAATGGAGCTCAATGGAAAAAGAATCTGAAGTTTAATATTTAGTCATCCAAAAAAGAAAAATGAAAATCACCTCCACAATTATATTGATTTCCACTTCGGTATCTAAACTTTGCAGCTTCATTAACAATCTACTGAGTTGAACATCCTATCAATTATAGTAAATTGTGGAAATAACACCAAAGCTCAGTTTTGAAGAAGATTCTTGCCTGATCAAAAGCTGGAAAGATATAATCTGCAAATTGAATTTCTGCTATGGCTCTATTGTCCTATCAAGTGCAAGTATAAGAACAGTTATGACAGGCTGATAAGCATACATCCAAAGTTTAGTTAAAGAGCCTATGCAATCCACAAATTAAATGTTTTATTCTTGAAACAGGTATTAAATGTTAAATACACACCATTGCTGCCAGACCAATGGCAAATCCAACAATGCCCTACAAGATAATGCAAGAAATGACAATAGTTATTTTAAAACTAATAAAAAAGGAAAAAGAAAAAATAATAATATAAGAAAGACAATAAAAACAATAATAGCAAGCAGCAGAATAAGAAGAACAACATGCATCCATTGTAAGATAAATAAGTGTAAGAGATACATGATGAGGCTCCCTGTACTTCTCAAACTTTTTAGGAGGAAGCACATTCTGTTAATGTTTTCCACCTATAAATCCTGAGCTTTAAATCCCCATTGCAATACCAAATATATAAATTGTATTTAAACGTGGCTAGAACAGAAAAAAGTAAAGACAAAATTACCTGTTCACAAAGAGGAGTATTAAAAACTCGATTTTTACCAAATCGTTCAACTAGTCCTGTTGTGCAACGGAATACTCCACCAAAGCGCACATCCTCTCCAAAGACGTAAGAACTGGGATGCAGTGTAAATTATGAGTGAAACTTGAAGTTTTATCTATAAACACAAACTCACTGAAAATTATTTAGATTATATCAATAAGATGTAACAAAAGTCAGCATTTCATGACATTATTTCCATTCTAATATTAAGGTTGCATTTTTAACAAAACCACAGTGCATCCAAATTGTTTTAGGCATCAACAAGTGCAAGAAAATCATCAAGAATATATTGCTTCCAAATGATCTAATGATGATGAAACTAACATTTAGAACCCTACAAAAGGTTGTTGACATGAAGTGGTAATGTCAAATAACGTGGTTCAGCAAAAGCATAAGAAAAAAGACGATGACTTAAGTATATGACAATTCAAACAATTTTCATCAAAAAAATTTCATATCCGTCGTTTCAATTAACATGTGGTAATCTTTCACAACCTGACGTGGGATTGCAATAGAATTCACAAGTGTACTGATCCCACATGACATTTTGGCCAGACAGTTAAATCAATCTTATACCACCATATTTTTTCTTCTGAGTTGCCATTTCAATGTATTGAGATACTCCCAACAGAAGTAATTTCTAAGAAGATAATCAATTAGCCATTACATGCTTTGAGTTGTCAACTGGGTATTTCGGTTAAAAAAGAGAAGCCAATTCACAATTCAATAACAAGCAGGACACTTTGAAACCCCCCCCCCCCCCCCCTATTCAAGGCCCATCCAACCCACAACCGTGCAACATGCCACTATCCATGTACTAGATATACTATCCCAAATGGACAGAGTGTGTGACCGCCACATAGATGACCTGCAAATGCCTACTTACACATTCTAGAACGACTCCACTGCTCCTACAAAAGTCTGTTGGACAGCATACAGTGGTACATGTCGCATTATTTAAACGTTGGTCTCCCTAAGAACGAGACTAGTGAATCAAACACGTCCGTTTTCCGCTCGCTTTCGTTACGTGATTCTCACTTATGTGAACTATTCTCTAAGTGAAATATCTCACACTTTTCCTCTACATATACCCCGTTTTCCCACAATAATTTCGTTATCAAGGTGTGTTCCGTACCGTCTTCAATTCAATATCCCACACAAGAAACTCGGAACTGTGAGTGCGTGCCAAATCACAGTCTCTCGAACAGTCCCACCTTACGTGCAAGTGGTCTGCATCAACATCACCCTCTCTGAGTGTTAGGGTCGGGGGGGGGCTCCGGGGCGGGCAGGGAAGCTCGGGGGGAGTGCGGGAAGTGCAGGAGGGGCGGCGGCGGTGGGGTCGGGGAGCGCGAGGTCCTGCGTGGGAGGCGGGCGAGGGGAGCCGGGCGGGGGAGGGGGCGGGCCGGCGAGGCAGTGGCGCGCCGGCGGCCGGGCCGGCCCGCGCGGTGGGGTCGCGCAGGCGTAGGGCGGTAGGGCAGGGCGGCGAGTGGGCGGCGGGCGCCGGCGGAGACGGCGGGCGGGGGGAGAGGGGGGCGGGTGGCGGGCAGCCTACGACGGAGCGTGCGAGAGCCTGGGCGGCGTGGGCGGAGAATGCGCGTCCGAGGGTGACGGCCAGGGAGGCGAGTCAGGGAGCAGCACGGCGGGGCCCTGCGGAACGCGCGCTAGATGGAGCGGCGGGGCGCCGGAGCGAGGAAGGTGGGGCGATTCGGGGCGTGCGGACTGCGGAGACGCGGCGCGGTGGGCGTGAGGGGTGGGCGCGTCGCGGGGCGTCGCGGTGGGGGCGGGCCGGGGCACCGGGTGGGCGAGGGTAGGGCGAGGCCGGAAGGCGGGATGGCGGCAGCGGCGTGGGTCGCGAGGTGGGGGGCGGGGCCGCGACGAGGGTCATGGCGCGGAGCGAGGCCCACCGGTACCCCGGCCGGCGCGGCGCGGCGGGTGGGTCGTGCACGGGGGAGGCGGGAGGAAAGTGGCGCGGGGGCAGCAGGAGGCGGCGGGTCGGGCATGACGTAGGGAGTCAGGGGGGGGAAGTCGGGCTGCGGGCGCGGGAGGTGAGGAGCGAGAGGAGCGCGCGGCAGGAGGAGTGCGGGGCGGCGCAGGAGCGGGCGTGTCGACGCGGGCGCGGGGGTGGCGCTGGGGCCGCGGGGGGGGCGAGGCGCGCTCCCGGAGCCGCAGAGCGCGGCGCGGGGGCCGGCGAGCGCGGCGGCGGGCCGGGCGGGCGGCGCTGGGGCGGGAGGGCGCGCGCCGGGTGGGGCCGAGGGGGGGGAGGCGACAGAGCGGCGGCGGGCGGGGCGCGTGGCGGGTGGTCGGGGCTCGGGAGCGGGCGTGGACGAGGGGGGGGCGGCGAAGCGTGGGCGCGGGGGCGGAGCATGGGTAGGGCGAGGTGGGGAGGGGGGAGAGCGGACCGGAGCGGCGGGGGCGCCGGCGGCGGCGGCGGCCGTAGACGGGGGCGGAGCGGCGCGAGGGCGGGCGGGGGCGAGGGCGATGGAGCGCGGCGGCCGGGGGCGGGCGGGCGAGGCGGGGCGGCAAGGCGGCCTGCATACGGGCGCGGAGAGTGGGCGATGGCGGGGGCGCTGCGCGCCGGGGGGCGGGCGTGCGGGGCGGGGGGAGAGAGGCGGAGCAGGGCGCGCGCCTGGGAGCGCGGCGCGCGTGTGCTAGGCGGCGGGCGCGAGGGCGGCGGCAGGCGGTGGGGGCGGCGGGCGGGAGGCCGGCGGGCGTGGGCGCGGCGGCGGCGGACGCGGGGGGCGGGGACAGACGCCGGCGCGGGGTGCGGTGGCGGGCGGCGGGCGGGCGGCGTGGCGTGAACAGCGGAGACAGCCGGCGCGGGGCGGGCGGGCGGTGGCGAGGGCGGAGCGCGGGCGGGGGAGCCGATTGCCGCTGGCGGGGAACACCGGTGGCGGGGCTCGCGTGGCGCGCGGGAGGGGGCAGGCGCGGTGGAGCACGCGGGGCGCGGGCGCGGGCGGCTCGGGGGGGACAGCTATCGGGGTGTGCGCGGCCGAAGCAGGGGAGGGCGGGCGAGGCGCGACTGGCGCGAGCAGGGCGGCGGGGACGGCCGAGCGGGGAGCGGGCCCGCGTAACCGGAGAGCCAGAGGTCGGAGGCGTGAGGCGAGCGGGGCGGCCGAGGCGCGCGGTCGTCGGAGGCCGGGCGGCGCCGGCGGGCGCGGGAGCCGGCGCAGGCTGTCCGGGGCGGAGGAGGAGGGAGGAAGGCGAGCGCGGCGGAGGCGGGCGGAGCAACGCGCCGGACGGGCGGGCGGGAGGGGCGGGCGAGGAGTGCGGCGGGCGGTGGAAGGGGTGCGTGGTGATCGACGTGCGGGGCAGCGGGGGCGCCAGGGTCCGGGGGCGGACGGCGGCGGAGCCGAGGTGGCGCGGGCCGATTACTGCGCCGTTGTGAGGCAGCGGATCGGCGCGCGGAGGTGCTGGGACGCTGGGCGGGGGCCGGCGGGGCAGGGTCGGGGGGGCGAGGCGGGCGGCGGGAGGTTGAAGGAGGGGCGGCGGAGGGCGGGCGGAGGGCCGGTCGGGAGGTGGTGGGGGGTGCAGGCGGAGGCCGGGGGCGGGGGTGGGTGCGCGACGAGAGCGCTGTGGCGACGTGTGGGTGGATCGGGGTAGTAGCCATGCGGTGTGAGCGGGGCGGTGGCCACGGGCGCAGAGTGGGCGGACCAGACAGCGCTGGTGCTGTCGTGGAGCCAGTGACGCATAGATGCGGGGCGCTGTGGCGCGTGTGGGGTGTGAGACAGCTAGGGGGATGGTGGCGGGGGGCACGTGGCACTGCCTAGAGTCGATGGCGCGTTGGTGGCGCTTAATCCCTGGCGTCGCCGATGAAGTGGGGGCGAGCGGCTGAGTCGCTGTGCGGGCGAGGTGAGAGCGCCGCAGCGGCGCGCTGGGCAGAGGGGTCGGCCAGGGACCGCGCGGGCAGCGCCCTGCGCGACAGCGCTCCGAAAGGAGCGGAGAGGTGCGAGGGGCGGCGCGCCGGGGGCCGGCGGGGGCGCGGGAGGAGGAGCGGGTGGAGGGCCGGCGGGGGGGGGCGGCGACTCGCGGGGCGCGCGGCGCGGAGCGCGGGAGGGCGGTCGCGCGTGGGGGCGCACGGCTGAGGCGCGGGGGCGCTGGTGGGGGGCCGCCGGGCGCTCTGGCCGGGGGGGATGGGGGGGCGGCGGAGCGGCGGGAGCGTGGGCGCGCGGGGGCCGGGGCGCGGAGCCGGGCCGAAGCGAGCGGGGGGCGGGAGATGGCGCACGCGAGGGGCGGCGAGCGGGCGCGCCGGCGGCGCGGACGGGGTTGCCGACGAGGGCGGACGGGCGGCCGCGGGACGGGCGGGGGCGGAGCTGGCTGGGCGGCCGGGGTGGTGGGGCGCGGGGACTGAGGCACGCGGGGCTGGGCGGCCGGGCGCGGCCGAGCGGCGGCGGCGGGGGGAAGGAGGGGCGGCGGGGAGGCACGGTGGGGCGGGCGCGAAAGAGGAGGCGTGAGGGGGGGCGGAAGGACGTACGGGGGAAGGCGAGTGGCGCGCGGCGCAGGGGGCGGAGGAGTGGAGTCAGGGGAAGAGAGGTGAGGCGGGGCGAGGGGGGCTGACGGGGGTCGGGGCGGGGCGGTACGGGCGGAGATGGTGCGGGGGGGCGGGCAGGTGGGGTGGTGCGGGCGGGTAGGCCGAGTGGGGCGGGATGACCTGCATCCCCACATGATAATTCATCCTAACAATTCTTGTTTTTTGGCCAGACAGGTTAAAATCATCTTAGGACCACCATATTTTTTTCTTTCTGAGTTGCCATTTCAATGTATTGAGATTACTGCCCCAACTCAGACAGTAATTTCTAGACTGTAATTCAAATTAGCCATTACAGCCTTGAGTTGCAATGGGTTATCTCTCGATGTTAAAAAAGAGAAAGCCAATTCACAATTCAATATACACAGCAGGACTACTTTTGGAAACGCCCCCCCCCCCCCCCACACCCAAACCCAGCAAAATTAAAGTCAATCCAGATATTTAAAAGCCGCTCATTAGAAGGCACTAAAATCACAAAAAAAAAAAAAAAAAATCCCAATATTTAAAAGCATATAGAAGGCATAAACTTGGCCCGCAATGTAAGAATTGAAAAGGAAAAATTATGTGGGTATTGTGAGAAACGAACCGAGGATCAGACTCCAAGGCAAGATGGAGAGCTTGGTTGATAGCAGAGCAGAGGTTCAACGAATTTGCATTTTGTTCTTGCTGTCGTTGTTGTTGTTGTTGAACAAGCTTACCTTCACAAGCTGTAGAGAGTTCCCTGTGGTTAGAAATTGAAACAGCCAGTCTTCTTCCACATCTTCTCAAGCAGGTTGCCATTATTTGCAGAGAATTGCTTCTATCTTTCTTGTTTTATTGGAAATGGGCAGAGACTACTATTTTGAAGCCAATCGCAATCCACTTCCTCGCAGCATGTGCCAAGTCATCAGATGATAATCATCATCATCATCGTTGTTATAATACTTACTACTTCCCCGTTTTCCAAATATATTTAAAAAAATCAAATTTGTAAAAATATTCAAATATTCAAATTCATAGAACTTAGGTGTTTCAATGGTTTTGCTTCATACATCAATTTTTTTTTCTTGTAACAAGTAAAATTTTTTTATAAAAATTTTATTTATTTTAATATAAAAGTTTTCATTCCTAAGAAAAAAAAATATATTAAAAGAATTATTGTATCCACGTTATTATTATAATTTTTTATTTTTTTATAAATAAAAACAAAAAAAAAAAAGTGTTAGACCAGTGAGCTGTGGCACTTATCCAGACAAATTAATATATTTATTTATTTATTTATTTTTGAAAAGAATATATTTATTTATTTATTGCTTTTTCTACACGCGAGACATAATATTTTGCATAACCTTTGTTTAATTTTTGCCCTATCGTATGAATTTTCTCGTATACTTCATGGAATAAGACCTCATGGCACTCTTTATTTTAAACGTATTAAGCGTTTCAATTTATAAAATAATATACATTAAATATTTTAATTTATAAAAATTTATAAAAATATTTTTTTTAAACGTATTAAGTGAATATTTTACACATAAATATCAAAAATACTAAAAAACCTGTTATTATTAGTACAGAGAGAGATATGATTGTGCATGGTTCCTAGAGGAATAGAGGAATCGAACTCAACCGTAGAATCTAAACGGATCAAACCAAAATCAAAAAATAATTTTATAAGAACCAAAATCAAAAGATTTATTTGTTGGCTCTAGCTGCATTAGAACCGTACAAAATCCAAACTAAACTGAAAAACCGATTAATAGATACATATTTTTCATTTTTATTTCAGTTAAAACTTTGAACCAATCATATATTATTATTTAAATTAAAGTTATATTAATTGATTGAATTACTTTTTATTAATTAACAAAGAATTTGATATTTAGGACAGAAACGTAAATTTAGCAAGGGATTCGAACTTAGATCTACTATCAAGTCGGATATGCATAGTTGCAACGTTTTTAATTATACGTGTAATTAGTATTATATCTAATATTATATAATAAATAATCTTAATTATTATAATTATTTACTTTCTAATAACCAGCAATAATAGTTTATTATTAATAAGAATATAGTTACACATAATTATAATTAACAAGGACCCCTTGACAATCAACACTAAGTAGTTTTTCTTACATGAGCTTAAATTAACCAATATTAAAATTACGTCACTTTAGTGTAAAGTTTTAATTTTATTATAAGGTTTTAATATTTTATTATTTAAAACAAAAGAAATTATTAATATAATTTTATATTGTATTATAATTTTATATTATTATTATAATTATATTGCCGATCATTTTTTGCAATTATCTAATATTATATTTTTAGTTGAATATTAGAATTCTTTAATTAAAGAAAAATATGGTATCAATATAGAAAATAGTGTATTAATTTTTAACAGAGAACTGTAACTAAAACTATAATCAGAACCGAGGAACTAAAGCAAAAAATTGAAACACTGAATTGGAACTGAACCAAATTATAATTCAATTCTAGTTCTTAAGTCATTTGATTATGGTTCTAAATTTCATAAGAACCAAACTATAGTTCTGATAAAATACCCATCCTTTTAAGGTTCTTGATAAAACACCCTTAATGTTTAATTATGTCATTTTAATTCCTTTGACCACCAAAATTTATTCTAATATCCATGACGAATTTGGAAACGAGCATGACAAATAGATACTCTTATCAATAAGTAAGCACCATATTGGCTTGTCTCCTATTCCACTCAACCTTAATATCAAGTTTAAAATCTAAAATATCCCACATATTTAAAAATAATAATTAAACTTATCAAAATAGCTCGGAAACAATATGTGTCAATATTATACTCAAGGTTTTAGTTCTCGTGTGTGTGTCTACATATATATAGTCATATTGATTCTCATGGTTCTTAAATTTTCATAGACACAAACTATAGTTCTGCATAAATACCCCATCCTCTTTAAGGTTCTTGCTACAAACACCCCTCTTACAGTTTACATTATTTGTCGCATTCTTAATACCATTCCTTTCGACCACCCAAAATTTATTCTAATAATCCATTGCAACGCAAATTTCGGAAAGACCGAGCATGCACACTAATAGGATACTCTCATCAATAACGTCACAGCACCATATTTGGTCCTTAGCTCTCCTACTTCCAACTCAAAGATCCTTTCATATCAAGTGTTTTAAAATCCATTCACACAAACGCGATCCACATATTTACACAACATAATAATTAAACTTAGTCACAAATAGGCTCGGGTGAAACAATATGTGTCAACCACTTCTTCATAACTCATGGTCTGCCCTCACAGGGTCTTTAGTTCTCCGTAGTTGTCGTGCTCTACATATATGTCGAATATTAGTTATATAGTATCCTTAATACCTATATACCCTACTTCACTTGCGTCACTGAAACTCGCTTGGGAAACCCTGCCAGCTGTCCACACTAGACTGCCTCACCACGGTAGGGAATGAGCATGGTTGCAACAAACACATTTTTTATAAACCAAACACTATAAATTATCAAGTGACAATCGCCCAATGTCATTTACATCCATTCCATCCTCGCACTTTTTGTAAAAATTCGTTCCGCTCTCCGTCCCGCACACTCCCTCTCACCGCCGAATACACACTACCCGCATCTCACCTATATATATATATATATATATATTGGTACTGAAATCAGCTGGAAAACTTGCAGTTCCAATGGGTAGGGATGAGCATGGTTTCAAAACATTTTTGAACCAAACCATAAATTAATTAATGACATCGGCCCAATGCATAAATTCATCCTCGTACTTTATGTAAAAAATTTTGTGGCATCATCACCTTTTATTTTGACATGTTGAACACTTTAGTTTATAAAATTATACCATTTACATATTTCAACTTACAAACATTATTCTATTGACTGAACCATTTTTCTTTCGTGGTGTTAAAGAATGAACTGGTGAGTTAAAGACTTACCAAAGCCATCAATGAATATTCAAACTTCTAAAATTAGATCAGTTAAACACTTATTAGTTAGTTGAAAAATATGAAAATTAAAATTTCAAATATTATACTAATCACACATTAAGTGAATATTTTGCACATAAATACTAAAAACATCGGAAAAAAAAAATTATTGTTAGTATAGAGAGGGATATAATATTAGTAAAATTCATAATTTCAGGAGTATAATATGTTACTTGCAAAGTTTGGGGTGCCTAGGGATGGAAGCGGTACGAGTGTTTTAGGTTATTTGTCCTGTTCTGATCCGTTTAAAGATGATATGGACCGCTATAATGGGTTCGGGTATGGATAGTGAAAGTACTACCCGTAATGGATACGGATAGGGAATGTGTGTAGGTATTTAGGTACTTGCTACCTATTACCCGCTATATTAAACAGGGTTTCACAATGGGTACCCATGGGTATTCTATCTATTATTAGTAAAAATTATATTATAAAAAAGTTTGGCTTTGGATAGTTTGAGATTTGCAGGTATCCTATCCCTGTAAGGATATTTTAAACGGATTTTAAATGGATACGGATAGTAAAAATTTAAACAGATTCGAATACGGGTACTTAAATGAATATTTAAACAGGTTTAGAATGTGTATGGAGAGTAAATTTTTAAACAGATATGAGTACGAGCTGCTTAAAATTCACGAGTAGCCCCCCGCTTCCATTCCTCTGGTGCCACAAGATTTTCCGTAAAATATAGGGATGTATTTATGCATTTGACAACATGAAATGAAATTAAACCAAACTGCAATAAAACGGTTTGGTGCAGTTCTGCTTGCAGTTTGATACCATCAAAATAATTTAATAATTACTTTAAAAAAATTTAACAATTATTTTAATTATAATTAAACAACATAATTAATTCATATATAATAACATAAGAAAAAAAATTATATTAAGTGCTCAATTATTTGATAACATAAAACATAACATATAAAATATGAATTTCTGCAATTTAAATTTATAAAAATAATAAAATTACATGTACGTAATATTCATGATCTGCGAAAGTGTAACCACTAATAAGAACCTATTCATAAAACAAACAAATTTTTTTTCAATACCACAGCATTAAGAACATAAGAAGCGACATAAAAAATTAAAATGTAGGTTTAAAAATTATTTTTAATGCACTTTGATTCAATTTTAAATAGTTTAATTAAATAAAAATTAAACCAAATTATTTTGAAAGTGGGGTATAAAATTATAAATCAAACAAAACCATTTAAAACTGATAGTTTAGTGCAGTTTCATTTGATTTTGCGATTTAAACCATTTAATGCTTACCCCTACCAATGGGTTCTTGTAAAAATAAAAATAAAAAAGAAAATACAGTTAAACCGGAAATTTTTTTTTGAAAATAATTAGAATTGGAGCCGACGGGTTTGAAATCAAACCAGGTTTGGGAGAATTAGTTCACTGATTTTGGAACTGCTAATTTATTGAACTGAAATTGTTGATTCACTAAACCGGTCACCTCTAGTTGAAGCCTTGGACTTTTCAAGACTTGCCAAATCTTTTTTCCTAATTGTTCGGTTCCATGATTCGAACCAAACCAATATTAGATTATTGGAGTATGGACGGTTCAATGCATAAATTTATTCTTATACTTTATATAAAAAATCTTGTGGCGCCCTCAACTTTTACTTTGATCTATTGAACATTTCAATTTATAAAATTGTATTAATTAAATACTTCAACTTGCAAAACATTATATTATTGAATACTCAAATTTCTAAAATTAGATCAATTAAGCACTTATTAGATAATTGAAAAATATGAAAATTATCGTTTCAAACATTATACGAACCATATATTAAGTGAATATCTCGTACATAAATACCAAAAACACAAAAAATATTATTATTAGTATAGAGAGAGATACAATATTAGCAAAATTCATAACTTTAGAGGTATAATAGGTCACTCGCAAAATTCAGAGTGTCACGAAATTTTTTCATAAAGTACGAGAGTATATTTATGCATTTTGCTACATATAGGCCATTCTTTCATGTTATCGTTTCTAAAAATGAATTTCAATTGCATTTCCAATAAGAATATTTATTAAGATAATAATAGTAGTAATGGTGATAGTTATTGCGCTTATTACATATCAACATAAACCTTACGTAATACAAATATGCTTTTAAAAGAAAAATAATTTCTTAATGAAGAAACCTTAAACGCTTGATAAAAGATGATGATGATGAGCAGAACCATCATCCATGGCAGTATTCACCAACACAACCAATTGGCTCCTAACACAGTGAAATCCATCAGACCATTCTATCTCTCCAAAATCATATCTCCCTTGAGATTTCTTCAATGGCTTTAGAGTCACATAATAGGAAAGCTCTTTCCTGAAATATGTGAATAGCAAAATCCGAGGCCAAATGACTACTTCCACACCATTCGGCTCGACAATTTTAGCAAAGTAAATAGCAATTCTATTTGGACCGACATTTCGAACAGTTCTTCTAACAGTAGTAGTAGATTGGAGATTAGAGACTGTGATTGACGGGTAATTTATGTCTGCAATTAGGGAAGAGCTACAGTCTATCGTGTCTGTACCGACTAATATTTGGATTTGTTGTTTCGTGTAGCCGAGGTTGCAGAGGAAAGGAATATAATCTTTGGATTTCATGTCATAAACTAGACCTGGATCTATTGCTTTTAATGGATTTATATGGCCTGCTCCAATGTCAAAGGGATCTGATAACTCCATTGATCCTCCAGCTAGAATGCTATCAAATGTTACATCTCTTGTGGAAGCTGAAAAGAAAGAGAAAAAAAAAAAATTTATATATAAGGAGAAAAAAAAAAAATTATATATATATATATATATAAATATATATATATATATATGATATATGTTAGGTTTGAACAAATTGTTTTATGAACAAAAGTAATGTAATTACTTGGTAAAATCTAATTTAACATATATATATATAGGGCACATTTTGCTTTTTGATCTACAACTATGAGGAAAAAACACTTTCTTGAAAATGTTGATTAATGTAAGACTGAGCATTTTCCAGTGAAAATGTTGATTTGTGGTTTTGTTGCATAAAAAGTAATGTTCCTTCTTACCAGTAGTCATCAGAGCAGATTTAATGGCTGCAGGAGACCAGTCGGGATGGAGAGATTTAACAAGTGCAGCTACGCCTGAAACATGAGGGCAAGACATTGAAGTTCCTGATTGGAAATTCCAATCGACAGAGCGATTATCTGCGTCTGGCACTAGGCTTGGAGGAATTTTGGGAGACCAAGCTGCTAGTATATTCACTCCTGGAGCCGTCAAGTCTGGCTTCAGAAAATCAGGTGAAAGTGGGCTTGGCCCTCTGGAAGAGAAGGATGCTACCGCAGGTGCTACTGACTTCCCAACAACACTTCTACTTGGTAATATTTTTATCACTGGCAGGCTGCAAAAGCTCACTCCTAATTAGGGGTGTAAACGAGCTAAGTCGGTTTGCGTGCAGTTTAAACTCGGGTTGAAAAAAGTTCGAAAAAAAAAATTATAGAAAGGGAAATTATATATATTATAGAAAGGGAAATTATATATATATAATATTAATATATATATATATAATATATATATATGTGCAAATTAAACACTAAAATTTTTGGGAAAATAAAATTTTTGTTTATTTTATATAATTACTTTTAAATTATTTAACTAATCACTGCCTCACACTTATGTAATTTTTTCATTAAAGTATTTTAAAATTCGTACGTAGTAACTAGATCAGTAATTAAAAATTGTAAAGTTTTTGAAATAAACTAGAAATAATATAGAATTTAGCAAAATGTTGCGACTTACAACCACACCTGCAGAAGAAAGTTAAAGAATTGTAGACTCCTTGCAGTAAGTATCAACAAGAAACAGTGGGGGAAATAATCAACAATCAACATTCCCCTGCTTCTGTTGGGAGATCCAACAAGAGATATAACCCAATCCCTTACTGCCTTTCCTTCACTGCTTTCTTGTTGCTATTACAGCTCAATGGATAGTTGGCCCCACATTTGCAAAGCAATATAACAATCTTCCTTATTGCTTTTATATTAATATTCTCCAGGCCTCCATTGGCGAAACCACTAAATCCAATAATCAAATCCCTTAACTTAAATTATATATTTATTATATTTATATGCAATTAAACACTAAAAATTTTGAATAAAATTTTGTTATTTATAGAATTATTTATTATTTATAATCAACTTGCCTCCCACTTATGTAATGTTTCATTAAATATTTTAAATTGTACTAGTATAATAGTAATTAAATTTAATTTGAAATAATAGAATATTAGAAATTAGCAAATGTTGCACTTACAAAACAAACTGAGAAAGAAAGTTAAGAATTGTAGATCCTTGAGTAGTATCAACAAGAACAGTGGGGATAATATCAACATCAACATTCTGCTTTGTGGGAGAGTCAACAAAGATCAAACCCAATCCTTCTGCTTTCTTCACTGCTTCTTGTGCTATTACACTCAATGATATTGGCCCCACATTTGCAAAGCATATAACAATCTTCCCTTTTGCTTTTATATTATTCCAGGCCTCCATTGCGCAAACCCTAATCCAATAATCAATCCTTAATTAATTATATATTTATTATATTTATGTTTAGGGATTGACTTGCCCAGACCGAGTCCAAATATCCGACCAAACTAATGGAAAATAAATTTTTATTAAAATTAGGATTTTTTTACCATATGTCAGAGAAAAAAAGGATAAAATGGGAACAACATTTAAAAAACACTTGTTTTTATTAGTTTGCTCCATAGATGGACTCATAGATGGACTCATAGACCAATCCAAGCAAGTCTAATCATTATATCTATATGATATCTAGTGCTCATAAAAGCAAGGTTGAGTGGGTAAAAATATGAAATTTTTAGCGAATATGTAGGATACAATATTTTTTTTTATTAAACCATCCGATATGCGGCACAATTGACTAATCTGGATTTGGATTCTGCATAAGTTTATTATGGGGGTGACCCTTCCAACCAAATTTTCTCCATATACAACGGCAGGGTTGGAACCTAGGATACAATATTTTAAATACAATGGTATATATAAAAAAAGACATTTACTTAGAAAACGGATAGGTGGAAGTGTCCATAGCTAAAAGTTTTCATGCATTATAAAGGAAAAGCTAGTAAAATATACTAATTTAAGTATGTATATCAAGAAAAAAAAAAAAAAAAAGAGATATTATACCCATCATCAAAATACATTGATGCACTTGCCAATTTTCCTTTGATCTCTTTGGTTAATAAGCCTTCTCCCTAAATAGATATATAACCAAATTAGTAGAGGATCAAAAAATTAAATGAAAATGAAAATAAAAAGTGGGAAAGACAATTAAAGTGAGTTAATTATAGTTGGCCCTAATTCAGGGAATTTTACCAAAAAAAAAAAAAAAAGGGAAAAGACAAATTTAACTATTATATTACCATAACAGTGAGATTAGTGTCTAGAACAATCTGAGTTGGAAATGATCTATCAATAGTGGAAGCAGCAACACAAATACTCCAAGGAGACACATTTCCTATTAAAGAAGGATCAGGACCTCCATTTCCAGCTGAGAAAACAACAGGAACACCAGCTTGCATTGCATGAAATGAACCAATATCTACACTTGATTCAAAGAACTGAACCAAATCAGGTGGCAATGAACCAAAAGAAGCTGATATTATATTCACACCATCTTTTAATGCATCATCAAAAGCTGCAAGAATATCAGCTTCTTCACATTTTCCATTTTCATCCAATTTTTTATTCCAACAAGTCTTGTAAACTGCTAATCTTGCTCTTGGTGCTCCACCCCTAGCATTGCCTTGTCCAAAACCAAAAAAACTTGCATTTAAAACTATGGATCCAACTGCTGTTGAAGCTACATGTGTTCCATGACCAAGAAAGTCTCGAGCTGATCGATATTCTTCAGTCTTGTTTAAAGGTCCATATTCTTCTTCAAATCCTTTATAGTAGTATCGAGCACCAATCAATTTGCGGTTACATGCTTTTTTAGGATCAAATTCTTCTCCTTTAACACATTTTCCCTTCCAAGATGGTGGAATTGGACCTAAACATATCTTTTCCTTGAAACTTTCGGATTCTGGCCATATCCCTTGTTATCACCAAAGAAAATAAAACATCCACAAGTTCAGATTTATACTGTGAAGCAGACCCGCATGTTTTGGTAAAATATTTTGCTTATCCAACGAGGAATATATATATATATACCTGAATCAAAGATCCCAACAATAACGTTATCGCCATAGCTCAATTGCAGAGGAGTTGCTGCACTAGTTCTTTCCAAGATAAGGCCTAGGAAGTCCCAGCTTCTTGTGGTGTGCAAGTCTAGTGTCTTGCTTCTGAATATTGATAATACTCCTTTCATGTCTGCATGCATGCAATTACGTGTCTTATTTACATTTTTATAAATCTCTAATGCGAAGTTATAATTAGTAGATTTAATGAAATAATTGTAATAAATGATATTTACTGGCAATGGTAGCTGCTTGAGTTGAATTAAGCTTTGCTGAGAAGCCTGAGAAGCTATGCTTGTAGCTATAGAGCATGGATTTTTTAGCTTCTTCTTCACTGTACAAAGAAAATGATAGAAACAGAATATACTTAACAAAGTTCAAGATTAACTATGTATATTCAGAGATAATTACTTTACCTTGCAAAGACATTAGAGAGGAGTTGAATATGAGAGTTTGAAGTAACAATAGGGTTACGAAATTGGTTATGCCCTAGATAAACAATGTAAACCTGCAAAAGAAAAAAGAAAAAAGAAAAACAAAACTACATATATTAACAGAAGATAAAAGAGACCATTGTTATAGGGGAGAGGGGAACCTAAAAAGCAAAAAGGAAAGGCTAGTTGAAGCATTTTTGAGTGTTATGAAGTTATTACATGAGATGAAGATATTGAGTGAACAAAATAAAGTGAAATTGAGAAAGATAGGCCCCAGAAATATTGCAAATAAGTTGCCATGTCTCCTATATGGGAAGAACCACATGGCTGGTTGGGGATTAAATATATAGGATTGTGAAGTGATCACTTATCATTTCGAAGATGGTGGTAATGGAGACTTTGGTTACAGTGCGTGCATTCCAAGGCTTTCGAGAGGGTTGGAATTCTACTGACATGTTTTCGTGAATCCATGATGATATTTTACCTTCAAAGCTAGTTGATAAGGAAAAGGAAAACCCTAACTTCAAAATCTTTTCTTTTTTTTTTTTTTTTCACAATTTTATATTTTGGACTTTCACGAATATCCCCTCACCCTTTTTAGAAAATTTCGGTTTTGATGGGTTTCATTTTGCAAATTCACAATTTCGGAAATATCACTGAAAGAACCAAATCTCATTGGTTCGAAACCCTTCATCAAACTCCATCATATATCATAATACTATAAAGAAAGTTTGCATGTGACCCTTCATGATTCTATATAGAACAAGATTTTTCTTTTTTTCATGTGTAAATTTTATTTGACCAAGATTATTGATTTGTATTTTTCTAGATATAGCTTTTAAGGAAAATTTTTAAGGGAACTTAAGTGCATAAATACAACAATTGATATCCAAGAGATGAGTTAGTGCATTACTCTGTCTAATTTTCTAACAAAATATTTTTTTAATCTTTTTTTATAGAATTTCTAAAAAAATCTTGGTATGCAATAACATTGAAAAGAAGTTATATGCACAACTGGGTTTTAACCACAGATCAAAGTTCAGTTAAAACCGAAAGATCGATCTGATTTAGATCGGTTATATAGATATTCAATGTGGTTTCTGGTTTGAAATTTAGATGATTTCTTATTTTGGTTTTTGATTCGATTACACAAAATATGCGATTCTTGTCCAAAACCGATATGGAATTAATCAAACCGATGAGTTTGGTTCGGTTCCAAACAAATTTCGGTATCGTTTCAGTTTAAGAAAAAAGGAAGTTCGACCTTCGGCTTTTATAGTTGGCATGGTTCAGAACTGGGACTCCATTTCACATCCCTAATTTTGGATTCTACGAATTAAGCTCCTTTCTAAACAACAATACATATTATAGGTTTGACCTGCATTTGCTCATAAATTAAAAGTTTAAGCTACATATAAAATATACAATGATGGTTGAGATTTTTTTTAAGGTAAAGATGTGCATAAGGAATTACACTTAGAAAACTAGCATAGGCACACAAAGGTAGTCTGCAATAGAATCATAATTAAGATGCACCAAGCTATATGAATGCTCTTCTTTTTTATAAACACGAATTTTTCCAAGTTGGTCCAGCTATTTTCTAATAATAATAAACTTATATTTGCTGATAAAAAAAAAAAAAAAAAGTGAACTCACTACTTCTGCACACATTATAGCAGCCAAATTAACTTTTGTTATTACATATAATTAACATTTTACACCTACATTAACATGTAGATTATACAACTGTATCTATGTAATGATCATTACAGCTGACCCAACAGTAGCTAGAGAAGCTCTAGCTAGTATACATATATGTCTACTGAAATACTATAAAGTGTATAACTAGTATTGAAGCAATGATCTAACCTACTCAATCCATTGTTTTGTTAAACTTTCACTAGCACATTGCGTGGATTTGAGTTCATTCTTGCTGTGTAATCGAAGGTCTTAGAGCTTACGATTTGAATTTTTACCTTCCAATTAATCTAAACTTCACCATCATGATTAAACCTCGATCTTCAAGATGGATATAAGAACTTCCTTTGTTAGGCATATGTTAGATGTCTGTCATTGAAATCCATAATTGCATGTTACTAAATACCCATAATTTGATTCAAGTAATTAAAGCATTCTGTTTGCTTTGACAGGCAGGAAATTTAAGTGCAACATAAAGAGCCTGAGACATTATAATAGTTCGATAGATGATACAAATTAATAAGGTCAAAGCCAGTTCATCTTATACTCAATATCTACCATATGGTCTATACACATATATATTCTCCAATAACATTAAATAAAATTTGGCATTTAAAAAAGAAATTAAAAGCAGCAAAGGTTTTAATTACTGTTTTTTTGCAGTGGATGATATATATATATATATATATATATATTATAACTTGTTGCCAGAGGATTAAAAAAAGTCCTAATCCTTATTATAATTATAAGGTTTGATATATTGATTGCAGGAATGTGTGTGTATTTTTCTCCTCTCAGTTGCATGGATTTCAGTTGTTTAAGAAATAAAAAATGCCCTTCTGTATGAAAAGCAAATTAGCATATGTTTATTTTGTCTTATCAGAAAAAGTGGGTCAAAGTTGAAAAATCTTTTCTCAAAGAATCTGAAAAAAAAAAAAAAAAAAGGACTCAGACATTTGAGAAAATGTTGATTTGGTCTCGCCGTCTCGGGAATTTAGGGATGTGTTCCATTTGGACATGGTGACGCACGGAGACCATGTAACGTTTTGCTCACACACAACCAACTCCTCAGCCAAGTTCCCAAATAAAGCCATCAACTTCACGTGATCCGGCCGTTACCGAACCTGTAACCGCAACTACTATAAAAGGATTCTTATTCTTACCTTTAACTGCGAAAAAAAAAAAAAAAAAAAAAACTTTTTAGTAAGTAATTATTTGTATTTATCTGGAATGTATTAATTAATAATGCCATGTTGATAATCATATGAGAAAAGACTAATATATTATGAGTTAGACTATGTTTATGATTAATAATACTTATAACTTACTCTCTAATTATACTTATTATGTAAGCCATAATTATCATTATTATATATAGATATATATACTACTTGTATGTGCATAAAATAATCTCCTTTGACCTTATTATTTTTTTAAGTGAACGATCCACAAATCTAATTAATTCTCGCTCATCCTCGAAAGCAAAGGGGATGACTGGATAGGAATTTGCATTGCGGAGAATCGAATCCAGAATCTAAATTGTGGTAACAAACGTCGCAAGTGTTCTTTGCTGCTGAACTGCCCATCCATGATAGCTTTGACCTTATTATTAAGTGTAGAAGGCTATTGATTTTGCATTATTACTTGTATTAGTCAAAGAGTAGTGCAATACTATGTACTAATTACAATAAATTATATCCATCAAGAGAGTAATTAAGATTAACATCATTTTGATACAAATTAATTGGCACTAATTAATATATTGATTATGATTATGATTAATAAAACTTGCATATTACTCTAGCTGCAAATTTTTTTTAGCTACACAAAATAAATTAATTATGATTATATATATACATATGCATAAGTATTATGATTAGTCTGTAGGACATAATTATACCATCATTTACAGAGAACAGAAAACATCTGCTTAGTGCTTACTACATGCATACGTGAGAGGTGGCTGCTTTGGCATTGGCAGAAATAGCTCTTGTGCTCTTCTATGCATGCGTTTGCAATTTTAGACTAGAAACAAAGGGCGTGTGTAGCTTCGAAGTTTCAGACAGGATGACAAAAATTCATTTTCTTTAATTAGATGTGTTGAGTTTGAGTTTTGGATATATAGTTCTTTAAAAAATCATAAGAGAACACTTTATCCTCTCTTTATATGCATGCCCGACATGAAACAAGCTAACAAGCTTTTGGATATCGAATGGTTAAAAAAAAAAAAGTGTGTGTTATATATGATTGTAATTAGACTTGGTGTCACATAATGCAGAATATGCATAATTGTAGATAGAGTGATTAATTAAATGTTAAAAGTAAATGTAAAATTAAGTTTTGAAAATTAATTTGTTTTAATCTCTCGGTTTTTTACTTGATATATCCGAGTTAGATTTGGGTGTATAAATAAAGTTGATGGCTCGAGTTTAGTGTTTGAAAATGTTAAGTTTTTCCTGATTGATATTAATAAAATAAATTAATTCTAATAAAAAAAGGTTTTGAAATGGGAAATCACAAAGTATAGGAAGTACAAAATGAATATGCAGATGCAGTAAATCTGATTTTAGTTAGATTAAATATATGATTTTGGTATGTCACTCTAAGCATACATCTGTAGTTAAAAATCATATTTATAATACGAAATCAAAATAAAAATAATATAGAAAAAATTCTTAACTTTAATTAACTTGAAAAATTGAATGGTTAGGCTAAACTAATAGAAAATAAAAATATTATTAAATTAAAAACTATATATTACCTTTCAAATAAATAAACTTTCTAAATAAAAGATTTTAAAACTTGCGAATAGAAAGTTATATAAAATAATTAAAAGAAATCTCCTTAGAGGTTAAACTAGAATTTTTTTCTTTTCAAAAAAAAAAAAAAAAAAAAAAAAAAAAACTACAACTTTTTTTTTTGTGTTTTAATCATCCCGGTGGTCTGAAGATCACTTGCTCGATTAATCTGGTATTGTTCGCACGCGGACAGTATCCACAAAAAAGCGGGCAAAGGCAAAGCGGCGGGCCTTTTTTTTTTCCCTTCCGAGTGTTAAAAAAAAAAAAAAAAAAAAAAAAAACTACAATTTTTTTTTTGTTGGTTTTTAATCATCCGGTGTCTGAAGTCACTTGCTCGATTAATCTGGATTCGCATCGGACAGATCCACAAAAAGGGCAAAGCAAAGCGCTCCCTTCCGAGTGTTTAAGGAATTCCATGTACCCACTGCTCGAACTCGAGACCTTTGATTAAGGGAGAAAGGATTCCTGTCATCCCATCTCATCCCTTGGGAGTAACTACAGTTTAAAATAGAAAAAAAAAAATGTATACAACTTCTTAATTGATATCAAGCTAATTTTCAGTTTTACTAAACATGACCCTGAGGATAAATTTATAATTCCACCAATGTGAATGAAAAAAATTAAAAAGCAAAACAAAAGTGCAAAAGGTGTAGGATCTAAGAATAAAATGGTCTTTTTTTCATTGTTACAAGAAGCATTAACATTGGCTAATAGTTCAAAATTTGAAGAGTTTATTTTAAAAAATATAAAAAATTAGGAGCTGACCTAATAATTTCTTTTTAAAATATACGTTGTGAGCTACACATTAGGGTACTCCTCCCTTTTGAATAACATCCACCAAATTAG